GACGTGCACTTAAATCCACAGCTTCAAAAAAAAAGAAAAAAAAAGACTCCCTCTCATTTTCTCTTGCAAAAACGCCATCACAGAGCTGTAACTCTTTCTGAACATGCAAAATGAATCTTGAATTATTTACCAGGTTGTAAGTACTTGCATGGCAAACACTTGTCTAAACAGTTGCCTCAGGCGGTGCATCTGGCCCCGGAGAGAGAGAGAGCAGACACGGGAAATAAACCTGAAAAGCCAATTAATATGCAACTGCCAAAAAAGCAGGGCATAAACAAAGCAACAGAAGCCTGTCATGCACTAGGCAGCAAAACAAGTCTTTTTATCCATCTGTTGACAGCAGATCCCTCCACCTGCGTCTGATACGTGTAAAGTCATACATTAATGCATGCACAGGCGTCTTCAGTGTCCTTTAAGTTCATGCTCTGTGGTGAAAGAGTCTCATCTGAAGAATGCAGGGAATGCAGAGACGCAGACGGATGTTGCATGACCGGTGACGTGCTGGAAATATTTGAACTGTGCTAAATGCATGACTGGGACACTTTTAATAACTCGTTGATTACAATCCCTGCACAGTGCACTTAAGCATTAAGCTATATATTTGGCTTTTTTTGTTCACAATATTTCAGGGTCATCACAGTTAGCAAAACCTAAAGTGAGCCTGTTTTAAATAGCATAAGTCTAATCGCAATTTATTTAATTTGCAAAGCCAAATAAAAAACAAAACTCTCATTTATAGTAAATACTATAGTGTTTTTGAAATATTCTACAGTAAAGAGTGTTATACTGCATATATTGTAGTATTTACAACTCTCTGCTAATACTACAGCATACTTTAAGAGTCGGAATAATTATAGTGAACCAATAAACTGTAATAAATACTGTAGTATACTTTAATTTTTACTATAGTAAACTGTGGTGTATTGTAGTATAATAAACCCTACAGTTGTAGAAAATTGGATTGGATCATTGGATCAGGCTCAGTTATGGATTATTATTACCATGGCTGAGACTTAACCCAGGAATCGTCCATGTTTGGCTTGGTCCAGTCATGTACCGTAGATCACTGCGGCTTGTGGGCCAAGCAAAAGCTGATTGTGTGGGCCAGAGCTGGACCAGAGATATTTTGCTATGTTGGATATACATATACCCACATGGTAAAATTTCTCTGGCCCAGAAAATACTTTCAGGTTTTTGTTTTTATTTAATAATTATTGTATTTATTAGATATTTTAGTACGCTAAATTAAACAAAAAAAAAAGAGAAATTTTTCCAGGGTAGCTAATTAAATCTATTTATTTTTTATATTAAAATATATTATATTATAATATAAATATATATATATATATATATATTATATTTATTCTTTTATTTATTGTATTTATATATTATATATTATATTTATTGTTTTAATTGATATTAAATAAAAAAGATATATAGATATATTATATATATATATATATATATATATATATATATATATATATATATATATATATATGTATGTTTGTTTTAAAATGATGTCTTATATATAATTATCTCTTATATATATATATATATATATATATATATATATATATATATATATATATATATATATATATATATATATATAATTTTTTTTTTAATCTAAAAAAACAATTATAATAAATATTATTCTTTTTTTATGCTTTTTTCCCCTCCAGTTTTAGGTGTCCATAGTAGACCGCAGTAATGCATACATGTGCAGCACCGCCATCTAGAGGTCATTTTAATGGACATTTTACACCCTGTAATAGGCTGACATTTTATCCTACCCGTCAGATTATGCTACCAACACTGTATTTGAATGGGTGTGGGGCTGGGGTTAGAAATTAGGCAGGTTATGGCGACATTACAACTTTATATATCCCACTACTACACATTAAAATTTACACTGGTAGCAAAATCTGATGGGTAGTATATTTCATCATCATTCATTAGGCCGAAGTGAAATGCTAGTCAGTTGAAAATCCCCTCATGAACTCAATCAACAGCACTTTCACTTTGGACTCAATGAACTGCCCATCTCGCCTGAACAAATGCTACACTGTAAAACCCATCAGTCAACTTTATCAATGAAATGAGTGTAGTGAACTCAAAATCGACTGAAAGTTAATTCTACTCATAAGAGTTTTGAACTCAGTGTTGAAGGTAATGAGTTAAATAAATACCCCATTACTTCAACTTAAATGGAGTAAGTTCACAGTACTCGTATAGATTAGTTTGTTTACTCAAATAGTTTGTATCAATCGGTTTCCTCAAATGGGTTGAGTTAACTTAACACACACACACACACACACACACACACACACACACACACACACACACACACACACACACACACACACACACACACACACACACACACACACACACAAAATGAATTCACTGTAATGTTATATTTTTGTTTCTGGTAAATGAAATAATGTGGTTTTGATTAATTTAATGAATTACTCCTAACATTTTATGAGCTAAATTGGTTTCTCAAATTAAGCCTAATAATTGCACTGGTTTCCTTAAAAAAAATAAGTATAAATTCATCTCTTGATTTTATTATTATTATTAAAAAAATAAAATAAATCATCACTCTTTAGGTGTATTTTTTTGTCCATTGTAGGTCAGAACAGTTGTACTTCCCTAACATTATACCATCATAAAATAAAAAAACACACAAAAAAGTTCCTGACTTTCCTCTGCCTCAACCTCAATTTCTCCCTCTACCTCTGGTAACAGTGACTCATCTCTGTCTTGCCCTGAAATTGTTAGCAGAAACTGCCCCTTACAAAACAACATAAATGTTTTATATTCTAATTCATATTGATAGAATATTATAAAACCATATTTGCAGATTTATATAGCAGCATTCAATTGATATATATATATATATATTTCCAGCGATGGGTTGTGGCTGGAAGGGCATCCGGTGTGTAAAAACGTGCTGGATAAGTTGCCGGTTCATTCCACTGTGGCAACCCCGAATTAATAAAGGGACTAAGCCGACAAGACAATGAATGAATGAATGATATATATATATATATATATATATATATATATATATATATATATATATATATATATATATATATATAAACGCAAATATTTTAAATAATTACCTATATTTAGCATAAAATATTCACAAAACAAAACTGCTTAAATTTATGTAAAATTGTATAATTATAAGGGGTGGCGCGGTGGCGCAGTGGGTAGCGCTGTTGCCTCACAGCAAGAAGGTTGCTGAGTCGAGCCTCGGCTGGGCCAGTTGGCATTTCTGTGTACAGTTTACATGTTCGACCCGTGTTGGCATCCACTGTGTAAAACATTCATTCTTTCATTTTCTTGTCGGCTTAGTCCCTTTATTAATCCGGGATCACCACAGCGGAATGAACCGCCAACTTATCCAGCAAGTTTTTACACAGTGGATGCCCTTCTAGACACAACCCATTTCTCGGAAACATCCACACACACTACGGACAATTTAGCCTACCCAATTCACCTGTGCCGCATGTCTTTGGACTGTGGGGGAAACCAGAGCACCCAGAGGAAACCCACGCGTAAGCAGGGAGAACATGCAAACTCCACACAGAAACGCCAACTGAGCCGAGGTTCGAACCAGCGACCTTCTTGCTGTGAGGCGCCAGCACTACATACTGCGCCACTGCCTCGCCGTTAAAAACAAATGCTGGATAAGTTGGTGGTTCATTCTGTTGTGGTGACCCCTGATGAATAAAGGAACTAAGCTAAAGGAAAATTAATGAATATATGTAAACAAATATTTTAAACAACATAAAATTGCTTACATTTATGTAAACTTTTACATTACAATGTGCTTTTTTGTTAATATAGCAATGCAAATGTGGATATACAAAGACTAGCATAGGCTTAAATAAGATTTGGATAATAACTTTGATAAAAACCACTATCCTTTTAGAGAAATACCGCATATTTTGTGTCTATGAGTATTTGGCATTAAATTACATTTGTTTAGTGCACATATGGCCTCAATTCATACATTCATTCATTCATTCATTCTTTCATTTGTTTTCTTGTTGGCTTAGTCCCTTTATTAATCCGGGGTCGCCATGGCGGAATGAACCGCCAACTTATCCAGCACGTTTTTATGCAGCGGATGCCCTTCCAGCCACAACCCATCTTTGGGAAACATCCACACACACAAACACTCATACACTGCGGACAATTTAGCCTACACAAATTTCTATCAAAATGTCTTTGGACTGTGGGGGAAACCCACACAAACACAGGGAGAACATGCAAACTTCACACAGAAACACCAACTGAGCTGAGGCTAGAACCAGCGACCCGGCGACCTTCTTGCTGTGAGGTGACAGCACTACCTACTGCGCCACTGCATCGCAATGGACTAAATTTTCTACCTCAATTTCAAAGAAAGAAAGAAAAAAAGAAATAAAGTAGGCCTACATTGCATGCTTTGTTTCCAGTGAGGACTTAGAAAACTCATTCATGCTTTTATCAGGGTGGATTACTGTATGGAAGTAATACTTTAATTTTTCCTTCTTTAATAACCTGTTTTTTATTTTTTTACTTTTTTTTACACATTTTAATCTGTTTTTAATCATTTTTTATGCTTTGTTTTTATTTTTTTAATACTTGTCGCTTTTATTCTTGTTTATGTAAAGTACTTTGAATTACCACTGTGTATGAAATGTGCTATATAAGCATACTTGCCTAAAACCAAAAAAAAATTATGCATTAAAATATTAATTTAAATGCTCAATTGCAAAATTGTGCGTTTGTGTAGCCAAACCAGTAACAAAACTGCATGTGAAGATTGTATTGTGTGTTTGATGCAGCTTAGACTGGATCCACAAGCACAGTGATATTTATAACAGACCCAAAGCACGCACACACATACACACACACACGCCGCTGATTGGCTGAGCCGCGTAAGACGGAAGTCAAAGGGGATTCCCCCAAAGGGAAGTTCCAGCTCATTGTAAAACACACAAAATGTTCATTTGTACAAAATAGTTCATTTCCTCCCGGTACAAGTGTAAAAATACGTGCAGCGATGTCCAAACTGCGCTTAGGTTTGTGTGTTGGGGCTGTTTCGGAGTGAAGGTAAGACGCCAGTGCTGCACACTATTGAGTGCACTTACTTCATTCACTGTGTTCAGTTGTGATGATGTTTGACGGCTCGCTTTTGCTTTTAGTTTGGTCGAAAACGCCTCAGATTTTCGTTTTGGTTACTTTATGTTGTGTTATTAACATTTTAAAGCTTCAGCCTCTGTTTGGTCAACTTTTTGAGACTCGGTTTGTTGTAGTAATGATGTTTTACGGGCTTAAATGTCACAAGGTCTGCATCTACATCACTATTTTTAACGGGTTGTTACACAAATAATGTTTTGTAAGTTGCTTTGTGACACATTATGAGCTCTTTCCTCCATACTAAAATCATTTTTGTCATCTGATGACTACCAAGTGAACACAATAGACAAGATAGTGAGGTAAAGTTGGTTTTACAATGGCACATTCGTTCATTTTTGAACAGGGATAACTTGTGACTCGCTCCCTATAATGTTTAGCACACTACTTTGAATATTGGTTCAAAAATAGCATGTAAGTAAGACTTTAAAACAACATTAGCACTGTTTAATTGACTGTAAACAATGTTGTAGGCTACTAACTTTTCTCAAGGTGTATTATTAAGAAGAAAGTCTGAATAAGGGAATATAAAACTAACTTCACCTCAATTTGTTGTGGTAATGATGTTTTGTAGACTTGAATGTCACAAGGTCTGCATCTACATCACCATTTTTACTCAAATTAGGTTTTATAAGTTGCTTTCTGACACATTATGAGTGCTTTCCTCCATTATAAAATGACAACAACTTAATTTTTGTCATCTGTTGACTACCAAGTGAACACAATAGACAAGAGATTGAGGTAAAGTTGGCTTTACATTGGCACATTTTGAACAGGGATAATTTGTGACATGCTCCCTATATTGTTTACCACATTACTTTGAATATTGGGTCTGAAACAGCATGCAAGTATGACTTTAAAACAACATTAGCACTATTTAATTGATTGTGGGCTTACTTTGATAGTTATTCTTTGTCTGCTAATTAAATTTTTCTGTTCAGATTTTGCAAACAATACTTTTCTAAAGTTATATTATTAAAGAGAAGGTCCTAGTGTGCGAATATAAAACTAACTTTACCTCAATTTGTTGTTGTAATGATGTTTTGTTGGCTGAATGTCACAAGGTCTGCATCTACATCACCATTTTTACTCAAATTATGTTTTATAAGTTGCTTTCTGACACATTATGAGTGCTTTCCTCCATGCTAAAATGACAACATCATCATTCTGCATCTGTTGACTACCAAGTGAACACAATAGACGATATTGAGGTAAAGTTGGCTTTACATTGGCACATTTTGAACAGGGATAATTTAGGACACACTTCGTATACTGTTTACCACATTACTTTGAATATTGGGTCTGAAATAGCATGTTAGTATGACTTTAAAACAACATTAGCACTATTTAATTGATTGTGGGCTTACTTTAACAGTTATTCTTTGGCTGCTAATTAAATTTTTCTGTTCAGATTTTGCACAAAAAGCTTTTCTAAAGTTATATTATTAGGGAGAAGGTCCTAGTGTGCAAATATAAAACTAACTTTACCTCAATTTGTTGTGGTAATGATGTTTTGTAGACTTGAATGTCACAAGGTCTGCATCTACATCACCATTTTTACTCAAATTAGGTTTTATAAGTTGCTTTCTGACACATTATGAGCGCTTTCCTCCATTATAAAATGACAACTTAATTTTTGTCGTCTGTTGACTACCAAGTGAACACAATAGACAAGAGATTGAGGTAAAGTTGGCTTTACATTGGCACATTTTTAACAGGGATAATTTGGGACATGCTCCCTATATTGTTTACCACATTACTTTGAATATTGGGTCTGAAATAGCATACAAGTATGACTTTAAAACAACATTAGCACTATTTAATTGATTGTGGGCTTACTTTGATAGTTATTCTTTGGCTTCTAATTTAATTTTTCAGTTGAGATTTTGCAAACAATACTTTTCTAAAGTTATATTATTAGGGAGAAGGTCCTGGTGTGCGAATATAAAACTAACTTTACCTCAATTTGTTGTGGTAATGATGTTTTGTAGACTTGAATGTCACAAGGTCTGCATCTACATCACCATTTTTACTCAAATTATGTTTTATAAGTTGCTTTCTGACACATTATGAGCGCTTTCCTCCATTATAAAATGACAACATCATCATTCTGCATCTTTTGACTACCAAGTGAACACAATAGACAAGAGATTGAGGTAAAGTTGGCTTTACATTGGCACATTTTGAACAGGGATAATTTGGGACATGCTCCCTATATTGTTTACCACATTACTTTGAATATTGGGTCTGAAATAGCATACAAGTATGACTTTAAAACAACATTAGCACTATTTAATTGATTTTGGGCTTACTTTGATAGTCATTGGCTGCTAATATGATTTATCTAATTAGAATTGGCAAACAATACATTTCTCATATTAATATTATTAAGGTGAAATTCCCAATGTGTGAATATAAAACTAACTTTACCTCAATTTGTTACTGCAATGATGTTTTGTAGATTTGAATGTCACAAAGTCTGTATCTACAACACTATTTTTAACAAGTGGCTATCTTTTTGATGTTGCTTTCTGACACATTATGAGCTATTTTCTCCTTACTAAAATGACAACATCATCATTTTTGTCATCTGTGGACTACTAAGGAAACAAAGTCACTGTAGAAATGACATAACCTGAAAGTTGAACTGGGATTTCTACTTAAATGTCAGAGCATGGTAAACTGTCATGTGTTTTACATGCTTCATCGGTCAAGCAGTGGTGTGAGGTTTCCTTTTACGTTCAATTTTAAGGGTCCGAAAAACCTAAAATGTGCTGTTTAATGTCATCTAATGTACACATTTAGCAATTTAGCCCACATAAATACTGGGTTTATTTATTTATTCATTTATTTATTTATTTATTTATTTATTTATCCTGGTCATTAAAAGGTGGGATATTCCTGAAGGCTTTGTATAACAATATAAAACAGTATATATACATATAGCCTGTGGAATATTTTCAAGAAGAAGTTTATCTACTAGCCTGCTAGATCCTCTTCTCAATACTAAGCTTTTTTTTTTTTTATAGCAGAAAAGCTTCCTGGTCCCAATTTAATTATTATTTCATATTTAGGATATTTGTGTAGACAGAACAGTACACATGGATGTTTCAAATCCAAGCAAGTATCTTGTTAGGCAATGTTTTCTCATTAAAATCGTTTATTCATTCATTTTCTTTTCTGCTTAGTCTCTTTATTAATCTGAGGTCGCCACAGCGTAATGAACCGCTAACTTATCCAGCATATGTTTCACGCAGCGGATGCCCATCCAGCTGCAACCCATCTTTGGGAAACATCTATACACACTCAATCACAACAGCCAATTTAGCCTACCCAATTCACCTGTACCGCATGTCTTTGATGGATGGATGGATAGATAATAGATAGATAATAATAAAGATGGATGGATGGATAGATAGAGAGACGGATAGATAGACAATGATAAGGATATATAGCTAGATAATGAGATGGATGGATGGATGGATGGATGGATAGATACTGAGATAGATAGATAGATAGATAGATAGATAGATAGATAGATAGATAGATAGATAGATAGATAGATAGGTAGATAGATAGATAGATAGATAGATAGATAGATAGATAGATAGATAGATAGATAGATAGATGGATGGATGGATGGTTGGGTGGATGGATGGATGAATGGATCGATAGATAGATAGATACTGATATGGATGGATAGATAGATAGATAGATAGATAGATAGATAGATAGATAGATAGATAGATAGATACTGATAAAGATAGATAGATAGATAGATAGATAGATAGATGGATGGATGGATGGATGGATGGATGGATGGATGGATGGATGGATGGATGGATGGATGGTTGGGTGATAGATAGATAGATAGATAGATAGATAGATAGATAGATAGATAGATAGATAGATAGATAGATAGATAGATAGATACTGAAAAAGATAGATAGATAGATAGATAGATAGATAGATAGATAGATAGATAGATAGATAGATAGATAGATAGACAGATAGATAGATAGATAGATAGATACTGAAAAAGATAGATAGATAGATAGATAGATAGATAGATAGATAGATAGATAGATAGATAGATAGATAGATAGATAGATAGATAGATAGATAGATAGATAGATAGATACTGAAAAACATAGATAGATGGATGGATGGATGGATTGATGGATAGATAGAAACTGATAAAGATGGATGGATGGATGGATGGATACATACACAGATAGACAGACAGACAGAGAGTTTGATGAATAGATTGATACATTGCAAACTTTTATTTTGTAATTGATTAGTCATGCCTATTCATTAAACAGTGCTATTTTTATTCTTTAAACCCCATTTCATCTTTAAACCGCTTGCATTTTACAATGATTTCCAGAAATGAGCCACACAATTACTCTTTTTTTTGTTTACTAATTCAATATTTATGAATCACTAATGCAGTCCAGGTGCAGGAAGATAAAGAATTTTCCACTGACACACACCAAGTGGCTTTTGTCACGCTGTCAGGCTTATCACACTCATGTGATGTGGGCAGTATCAGAAAAGTTAAACTGGCTTTTGATGCTTCTAGTGTCTTTTGACTAGGGCTGCACCATATTGGAAAAAGTCAGTGTTTTGTTATTCTGCGATTTTTATTTTTTTTATATTGCAATATGAATACAATATCCCCAGATGACTGAATATCTCTATTTGGACAGAATTGATCATTTTAGATCCGTCACAATAATCAATATATAGAATTATCGTGCAGTATTGATGACCTCAAAAATTTTGCTGTTGCGTTATATATGTACAGTTTCTCATGCCTGAATGCTTCTAAAGTCATAATACAGTCACAGGCCTCAAAAACACATGCAAATGATCCATTATAATTCAGACTCAACATTGCAAGTCTTGTGATGGACTATTGCCAGTGATCACACTGCCCTACTTTTGGCATTGGAATTGCGTGTGTGTATTGATGACGCATGTGTGTGTGTGTTTGTTTAGCTGTCACTGACAGGTCCGGTGTTACTGTCACTCCTCTGGGTTAAAGAAGGGGTGTGTAAGGAAGTGTGTGCGTGTGTGTGTGCCTGGGACGAGGGCCCGGGACCGCCCCTTTCGTAATGTTACTGAAGGCCCCGGAATGGACAGGACCATCAGTGAGCAGCTCAACAAAGCCTTCGAAGCGTACCGTAATGCATCTATTGAGAAAGAGGCGGCCAGAAAGGAACTTCAGCATAAGGTCAGTTCTGGGATTTATAATAAACAGTTTTGCTGTGCGCATGTACAGTACAGTTAAAGTCCGAATTATTTGTCCTCCTGTGAATTTCTTTACAAGTATTTCCCAAATGATGTTTAACAGTGCAATACATTTTTTACAGTATTTCCTATAATATTTTCTCTTTCGTTTGAAAGTCTTACTTGTCTTATTTTGGCTAGAATAAAAGCAGTTTTTTATAGATAGATAGATACTGATAGATAGATAGATAGATAGATAGATAGATAGATAGATAGATAGATAGATAGATAGATAGATAGATAGATAGATAGATAGATAGATAGATAGATAGATAGATAGATAGATAGATAGATAGATAGATAGACGGACAGACAGATAGAAAGATAGAAAGATAGATGGACGGATAGATAGATAGATAGATGGACGGATAGATGGATAGATGGATAGATAGATAGATAGATAGATAGATAGATAGATAGATAGATAGATAGATAGATAGATAGATAGATAGATAGATAGATAGATAGATAGATAGATGGACGGATAGATAGATAGATAGATAGATAGATAGATAGATAGATAGATAGATAGATAGATAGATAGATAGATAGATAGATAGATAGATAGATGGACGGATAGATAGATAGATAGATAGATAGATAGATAGATAGATAGATAGATAGATAGATAGATAGATAGATAGATAGATAGATAGATAGATAGATAGATAGATAGATAGATAGATAGATAGATAGATAGATAGATAGATAGACAGATAGATAGATAGATAGACGGATAGATAGATAGATGGACGGATAGATAGATAGACGGACGGATAGATAGATAGACGGACTGATAGATAGATAGACGGACGGATAGATAGATAGACAGATAGATAGATAGATAGATAGATAGATAGATAGATAGATAGATAGATAGATAGATAGATAGATAGATAGATAGATAGATAGATAGATAGATAGATAGATAGATAGATAGATAGATGGATGGATGGATAGATAGAAACTGATAAAGATGGATGGATGGATACATACACAGACAGACAGACAGACAGACAGACAGAGAGTTTGATGAATAGATTGATACATTGCAAACTTTTATTTTGTAATTGATTAGTCATGCCTATTCATTAAACAGTGCTATTTTTATTCTTCAAACCCCATTTCATCTTTAAACCGCATGCATTTTACAATGATTTCCACAAATGAGCCACACAATTATCCTTTTTTTGTTTACTAATTCAATATTTATGAATCACTAATGCAGTCCAGTGCAATACATTTTTTACAGTATTTCCTATAATATTTTCTCTTTCGTTTGAAAGTCTTACTTGTTTTGTTTTGGCTAGAATAAAAGCAGTTTTTTATTTTTTAACACCATTTTAAGGTCAATATTATTAGCCCCCTTGAGCAATATTTATTTCAGATTCTCTACAGGACAAACCACTGTTATATGACTTGTCTAATTACCCTAAGGTCAAACTAATTAACCTAGTTAAGCCTTTAAATGTCACTTTAAGCTGAATACTAGTATCTTGAAAAATATCTAGTTAAATATTATTTACTGTCATCATGGCAAAGGTAAAATAAATCAGTTATTAAAAAAAGAGTTATTAAAACTATTATGATTAGAAATGTGTTGAAAAAATCTTCTTTCCAATAATCAGACATTGAAGAAAAATATATACAGAAGGGCTAATAATTCTGACTTCAACTGCATAAGGGCAGAGAGTTAAGCTATTGTTTGTTTGTTTTTTTTGCAGACTGAGCAGTATCAGCGACACACTCAGAAGCTGGAGAAACAGATAGAGGATCAGGCCAAGACCATCGTACATCTTAAGACTGAGCTCAGTTCACTTCGCAAACATGCATCAGGTTGGAAATGAGTTTTCTCTTCATATGTGACCCACTTGTGTCACGTTTCCAGTCATAAAGGTCACTTTTAGGAACTTGACATTTATACATCATATGAAAGCTGAACAAATAAAGGTTTCCAGTGCTGTATGGTTTGATAATAGGGCCAAATATTGGATGGTTTAAAAAAATCTGATTGTAAAAATAAAAAAATATTTGATAGTTTCAAAAGTTATTAGTAATATGCAATGCTAAGAAATGAATATTTACAACTTTAAAGGTGATTTAATTTTTTTTGTAATATATAAGTTTTTATATATTTATGGTAGGAAATTTACTAGCTTTCTTTATGGAACATGGTCATTACTTAATATTGTAATAGATTAAGTATGCTATAAGTTGAAAAAAAATTGAATTTTGACTCAACAATGTATTTTTGACTTTTGCACATATAAATCTATGCAATATAAGAATGAAAAATGTCAGAGGTTTTGTAGTCCAGGGTCACATGTGCATCTTCAAGGCTAAATAATACAATATAACAACTAAACATGCATCAGGTTGGAAATGTGTTTTGTCCCATTTCCAGTCATTAAGGTCACTTTTAGGAAATTGAATTGATTGAAATTTATACATCATATGAAAGCTGATTAAAAAAAGATTTCCAGTGCTTTATGGTTTGGTAAAAAAATCTGATGGTAAAAAAAAAATATATATATTTGATAGTTTCAAAAGTTATTACTAGTATGCAATGCTAAGAAATGAATATTGACAACTTTAAAGGCATTTTTATTTTTATTTTTAATGCATATTATATGCATATGAGTTTTGATATGTTTTGTGGTAGGAACTTTCTTCATGGAACATGATCTTAATATTGTAATGATTTTTGGCATAAAAATATATAATTTTGACACTGCAATGTATTTTTGGCTATTGCCACAAATATATCCATGCGATTTAAGACTAAGTTAAATTGCTAAAGTTAAATTATTTAAGATTAGATAGTACAATACAAAAAATAACCATGCATCAAGTTGCATCTTCATATGTGACCCAGATTTGCATTGCTGTATGGTTTGTTAATAGGTCACCATCTGGCTGAGATATAACTATTTGGTAAAAGAAAATCTAATATTGAGAAAATTGCATTTAAAGGAAGTAATTAGTAATATGCAATGCTAAGAAGTGAATATTGACAACTTTAAAGGTGATTTATTTTTTTTGTAATATAAGTTTTCATAAATTTATGGTAGGACATTTACTAACTTTCGTCATGGAATGGAACATGATCATTACTTAATTTTGTAATAGATTAATTATAAGGTAAAAAATATATATAATTTTGACTGCAATGTATTTTTGGCTTTTGCCACATATAAATCTATATGCAATTTAAGACTTCAGAGATGAACAATTTCAGAGGTTTTGTAGTCCATGGTCACATGTGCATCTTCAAGGCTAAATAATACAATATAAAAACTAAGCATGCATCAGGTTGGAAATGTGTTTTGTCTTCATATGTGGCCCATTTCCAGTCATAAAGGTCACTTTTAGGAAATTGAATTGATTGAAATTTATACATCATATGAAAGCTGAATAAAAAAAAAGATTTCCAGTGCTGTATGGTTTGTTAATAGGGCCAAATATTGGATGGTTTGAACAAAATCTGATGGTAAAAATAAAAAAAATATTTGATAGTTTCAAAAGTATAATATTAATAATATTGACAACTTTAAAGGCGTTTTTATTTTTCTTTGTAATGCATATTATATGCATATGAGTTTTGATATGTTTTGTGGTAGGAACTTTCTTCATGGAACATGATCTTTACTTAATATTGTAATGATTTTTGGCATAAAAATATATAAGTTTGACACTGCAATGTATTTTTGGCTATTGCCACAAATATATCCATGCAATTTAAGTCTAAATTAAATTGCTAAAGTTAAATTATTTAACATTAGATAATACAATACAAAAAATAACCATGCATCAAGTTGCATCTTCATATGTGACCCATATGTATCATGTTTGCAGTCATAAAGGTCACTTTAGATTTAGATTTCTACATTTAGATTTAAATTTAGATTTATACATCATATGAAAGCTGAATAAATAAGATTTGCATTGCTGTATGGTTTGTTAATAGAACACCATCTGGCTGAGATATAACTATTTGGTAAAAGACAATCTAATATTGAGAAAATTGCATTTAAAGGAAGTAATTAGTAATATGCAATGCTAAGAAGTGAATATTGACAACTTTAAAGGTGATTTAATTTTTTTTGTAATATATAAGTTTTCATAAATTTATGGTAGGACATTTACTAACTTTCTTCATGGAATGGAACATGATCATTACTTAATTTTGTAATAGATTAATTAAAGGTAAAATTTTTTTTTAATTTTGACTCTACAATGTATTTTTGGCTTTTGCCACATATATATCTATGTAAAAACTAAACATGCATCAGGTTGGAAATTTGTTTTGTCTTCATATGTGTCACATTTGCAGTCATAAAGGTCGCTTTTAGGAAATGGAGATATATATATTATCTGAAAGCTGAATAAATAAGCTTTCCTTTACTGTTTGATTTATTGATAGGACGACATGTGGCTGAAATACAACAGTTTAATGCTTCCAAAAATCTAAATTTATTTATTTAATTATTAGTAGTATGCAATGCTAAGAAATGATCATAGACAACTTTAAAGGTCTTTTGTTTTCTTTGTTATGCATATTACTAATCAAAAGTTTTGATATGATTTGTGGTAAGAACTTTCTTCATGGAACATAATCTTTACTTAATATTGTAATGATTTTTGAGATAAAAATATATAGTTTTGTCTCTACAATGTATTTTTGGCTATTGTTATTAAATACATATATATGTTTTTTTTTTACCACATAATATCTATGCAATTTAAGACGAACAAGAGGTTTTGTAGTCCATGGTCACATGTGCATCTTCAAGACTAATTAATACAATATAAAAACTAACCATGCATCAGGTTGGAAATGTGTTTTGTCTTCATATGTGACCCATTTCCAGTCATAAAGGTCATTTAAATTAAGACATTAGTAAGATGCAATGCTAAGAAATGAATATTGACAATCAAAAATTAAGTTTTGAGAAATTTAAAGTAGGAAATTTACTAACTTTCCTAATGGAACATGATCTTTTCTTAATATTGTAATGTTTTTTTGGCATAAAAATAATAAAATTTATTCATACAATCAATATTTGTGTATTGCCACACATATAAAATCTCACGAGGAAATGTTTTAACAAAATTGATTTATGTTTTGTTAGTTGTTTAGTGTCTAATTCATTCAAATTCATACAAGTTCAGTTGTTGATGATACACTTAATACACAAACATGCACACTTTATTAAACATGTACGCATACTGAAGATAGACATCACCTATATGCTATAAAATCGCAGGTTAATGATGTCTGTATAAAATAACTTATATTTGATTGTAACTATAACTTAATTTGACTGTAATTCAGTTATGCGTGTAACGGAGGCCAGCTAGTAAGTGCTGTGCAGGTAAACCTCACTCCTCGGACCTCTAAAGGTGCTCTAGTGACAGACGCAAGAGGCTATGGTCTTTAGCCTCCTTGTTAGAGCAACTGACTCTCATGCGGAAGGTCGCCGGTTCGATCCCAGCTCGGAGCAGGTTGGATAGCGTGGGACCGGCGGGGTTACATTTGTAAAGCTGCTTTGAAACGATAATTATTGTGAAAAGCGGTATACAAATAAACTTTAATTGAATTGAATTTGAAAATGTGCAATTTTAAAAAAGACCCCTAACATCCATCTCTAAACTCAACCATTATTAGGGGATGAGCAAATCATACTAAAATACACAAATGAGATCATATGAATAAGCCACTAACGCAAAAAGTTATGAATCTGCATGAAATGGCTGTAAAAATAACTGTGCAATTTAAGTTTTGTAGTGCAGGGTCACTCATGCATCTTCAAGCCTAAATAACACAATATAAAAATTCACCATTCCTATCTGGCTGAGGATGTGCTTCTTATTCATATGCATCTTCAAGACTACTGTAAATAATGCACTATAAAAATGAACTATGGATGGGAATAGGAATTTCTATATGCATTTTCAAGACTAAGTATACACTAGACCTGCACAATAATCAATATGTCGACTTATCGCACGACACATGGACATGAGCTCAATTTTTATTGGTGATGCAATGTACAGTTGAAACCAGAATACACTGTATAAAAAGGCACATAACCTTTTAAAAACAAGTCAGATGTTAATGTGACTAAACTTTTTCTCTTTTAGGTAAGTTCGGATTATCTTGATGATAACTAACCATGCATTAGGATTTAAAATGTTCAATGTTAATTCAAAATGAAATGTAGATCAACTTGGAACGCGGCTATGAGAATGCATCAGTTTTATTATGATTATTTCCACATTTTAACAATCGTTAAGTGGGAATATGGGAACTGTGTGATTTTCGAACTTCTTCAAAATGTGCCAGCCTTTGTTTAGATCCTCTTCACGTACCCTCGGTCAGCTTCATGTGGTGCCATTTGAGCCTGTGTCATGTTAGACTATTTATTTTTGTCTACAAAACCAGTTTCAAGCTGAAGCCTTGGGATTAAAACGTTGGAATATAAATGTTTATAAGTTTTGTATATTTGAGTGTCTAAAATTTTGATTGATAGTATACACAAAAACTACAAAAACACAAATGCTAGTAAATTTGAAACGAAAAAAAGTTTATTAAGTTTTGAATATGAATATATTGTAAATTATATATTTGTATATATATATATATATATATATATAAATATAAATATAAATATAAAAAAAAAAAAATATATATATATATATATATATATATATATATATATATATATATATATATGTGTGTGTATGTATATATATATATATATATATATATATATATTTATTTATGGTGGCATGGCAGCTCAAGGGTTAGCACTGTCACCTCACAGCAAGAAGGTCACCTGTTCGAGTCCCAGCTGAGCTGCCGTGTCCGTGTGGAGTTTGCATGTTCTCCTCATGTTGGTGCGGCTTTCTTCCAGATGCTCCGGTTTCCCCCACAGTCCAAACACGTGCGCTATAGGTGAATTCGATTAACTAAATTAGCTGAACTAAAATAGCTGTAGTATATGGATCAGTGTGTATAGATGTTTCCCTGAACTGGGTTGTGGCTGGAAGGGCATCTGATGTGTAAAACATATGCTGGATAAGTTGGCGATTCATTCTCCTGCGGTGACCCGTGATGAATAAAGGAAAATTAATGAATGAATGGGTCAAAGACGACAAGGGTTTTCAAGAATCAAAGCAATGAAAGTATAATATTTTTTGGGTTAGATTAGAAGGTTTCCTGTTTATTATTATTATTTTTTTGTGTGGAAAAACGTCAGTGACTTCCATGCATTTATTTTATTTTATTTTTGGCCATGGTTTACACACTGCAACTATTAAAATTATTTTCAATGTAACCGCTTCATATAGCGAAACATTCATTCATTCATTTATTCATTCATTTTCTTGTCGGCTTAGTCCCTTTTTTAATCCGGGGTTGCCACAGCGGAATGAACCGCCAACTTATCCAGCACATTTTGATGCAGGGGATGCCCTTCTAGCCGCAACCCATCTCTGGGAAATATAGCGAACCAATAGTCATTAATTCAATTTTTTTAACCAACATTATTTAGTGACCCTATTTTAAAAAATTATTTGAATACTTATATGATATAATTTAAAATATCTTGGCCCCTATCTTTAAAACCACTGTATTTTTATGCATTTGTAAGCAAAACTAATTTACAAAATTGTAATATTCAGTACAATCACTTATTTTTTGTATATTTTAATGTGTACAAGTTAAGTAATTATGCTGTTTAAATAGCTATTATGCTGAATGTCATTCATGTTTTGACATTTGATTCACACTAAAGCTTTCATAAATAATAAAGTAGGTTTTTTTTGCTTGCATTTAATGTGCTTTCTATCTACATAAAATCATTTTATCTCAATGCACACACTAAAAGACAGCATCTATGACCCCAATAAGCATTTCCTTTCTCACACTCTTTATGGAGCAGCACAATTTAGTAAAATCACTGTAACTGATGTCATTTATATACTTGTAAATTGTCGGCAGGACTGTAAATGCACTAAAACAAGCTGCTTTATGCCCATTTAAATATAGTTAAAGTCAGAATTATTAGCCCCCTTTTGATTTTCTTTTCTTTTATAATATTTCCCAAATGATGTTTAACAGAGCAGGGAAATTTTCACAGCATGTCTGATAATATTTTTTCTTCTGTAGAAAGTCTTATTTGTTTTATTTCAGCTAGAATAAAAGCAGTCTTTAATTTTTTAAAAACCATTTTAGGGACCAAATTATTTGCCCCTTTGAGCTAATTTTTTCCCCGATACTCTACAGAACAACCCATGGTTATACAATAACTTGCCTAATCACCCTAACCTGCCTAGTTAACCTAATAAACCTACTTTAACATTTAAATGTCACTTTAAGCTGTATAGAAGTGTCTTGAAAAATATCTAGTCCAATATTATTTACTGTCATCATGACAAAGATAAAATAAATCAGTTATTAGAGATGAGATATTAAAACTACACAGCAACAAGGGGGACCCAAAATAACTCTAAGAGATTTCATTTCAACACTTTGAAATTGTCTCATAGGGTCCACTCCCAACATTAGATACACAAAAGACCATGAATGAACAGCACAAGTTTAAAATTGTCACTCCATTTTAAAATAATTAACTTAACAATATATTTACCACTGTATTCCCTCAGAGAAAGTTAGTAAAATGCCAACATTGAAGTAGTTTGACTCACTAGTTGCCGTTCTAAAACTCAGATGGAAAATGCCGCCTTGAAAATTCTTCAATGGGGCTGCATGAATGTTTGAATTAACTCCACCAAGTGTTGCACAGATAACTCCTTGATTTCGCACTGAATCAAATCAATTCTAACTCTGATTATAATTATTTATCAAAATCTAACTCTATAATGTCAACACTTTACTCTGAAATGCTTCAACACCGAGATTTTAACTCTGATGAATTTGCTGTGTATTATGTTTAGAAATGTGTTGAAGAAAATCTTCTCTTGAGAAAAATAAAATAAACCGGGGCTCTAATAATTCAGGGGAGCTAATAATTCTGACTTCAACTTTATAAGTGAGTTCTTAAATAAACAGTAGCATTACTATAAGCTAATGTGTCACACTTTTATGCAAATTTTAGATCGTTACATTATATGTTAAATGCACACTACAGAATGTGTTACTTTAGCATGCAAACTACACAGGTGTTAAATTGCAATCATATGCATGCTTTGACTTGACAACTGTTTTTGTTGATGAGTTTGACTGTGATAACTGTGCTTTTTGACTTTTTATTATTATTCAGGGGAGGTCTGTGAGCCTGCATACAGAAAACAGGAAGCAGAAGCCTTGTCACCCAGCGATCATCGCTCTGAAAACCCGTCCACTTCCCACAGGACTAACCATTTCCTGGTGGGTGTTTTTTTTTTCTCTCTCCTAATGTCCACATACAGTAAAGGCCAAAGTTTGACTTCAGGGTTTTTTCATTTCCCTTTTGGCTGACTTGCAACACTTAATAATGTTTATTCTTGACAACTTTTATTTGATCAGATTTTATTTCCTTTGTAATACATATTTTTACTATCAAAAAATAAGTTTTGATATATTTATGATAGAGAATTTACTGAATTTATGCATGGAACGTGATCTTTAGCTAATATTGTAATGATTTTTCGCATAAAAATATGTGATTTTTGACTCTACGTTGTACTTTTGGCTATTTTGGCAAATTAAGACTAACTGTACAATTATAAAAACTAACTATGCATCAGATTATCAAAACTAACCATACATCAGGTTGGAAATGAGTTTTCTCTTCATATGTGACCCATATGTGTCATGTTTCCAGTCATAAAGGTCACTTTTAGAAAATTGAAATTATACATCATTAAATTAAATAAGCTTTCCATTGCTGTTTGATTCATTAATATGACAACATGTGGCTGAGAGACTTCAGTTTAATGGTTCAGACAAACCAAATACTGAAAATAATGCATTTAAATGAAGTAATTAGTAGTATGCAATGCTAATAAATAAATATTGACAACTTTAAAGTTGATTTTATTTTCTTTGTAATGCATATTACTAATCAGAAATTATTTTTAATACATTTATGGTAGGAAATTTACTAAATTTCTTTATGGAACATGAACATCACTTAATATTGCAATCTTTTTTGCCATAAAAATGTATAATTTTGACTCTACAATATATTTTGGCTATTGCCACAAATATAGCTGTGCAATTTAGGAGAGTTTTTGTAGTCCAGGATCACATGAGCATCTTCAAGACTAAATAATACAATATAAAAACTAACCATGCATCAGGTTGCAAATGTTTTCTCTTCATATGTGACCCATTTCCAGTCATAAAGGTCACTTTTTGGAAATGGAGATTTATACGAAATTTGAATAAGAATAAGCTTTCTATTGCTGTTTGATTTGTTAATAGGATACCATGTGGCTGAAATGCCACTTTTAATGGTTCAAAAATTAAACACATTGCCTTTAAATGAAGTAATTAGTAGTATGCAATGCCAACAAATGCTATTGACAACTTTAAAGGTGAATTTATTTTCTTTGTGATTCATTATGCTAAAATTTCAACTTACTACTAAATTTCATCATGAAACAAGATCTTTACTTTACATTGCAATCTTTTTTGGCATATATATATATATATATATATATATATATATATATATATATATATATATATATATATTATATATAATATATAATTTTTGACTCTGCAATGTATTTTTGTCTATTGCCACACATATATCCATGCAATTCAAAGTTTTGTAGTCCAGGGTCACATGTGCATAAATAATACAATATAAAAGCGAACCATGCATCAGGTTGGAAATGTGTTTTGTCTTCATATATGACCCATTTCCAGTCATAAAGGTCACTTTTAGGAAATTAAGATTTATACATCATGTAAAGGCTGAATAAATAAGCTTTTCATTGCTGTATGGTTTGTTGATAGGACACGGTGTGGCTGAGATACAACTGTTAAATGGTTAAAAAAAAATCTAATTATTGAGAAAATTGCATTTAAATTGTTATTAGTAGTATGCAGTGCTAAGAAATTAGTTTTGAGAACTTTAATGGTGATTTTATTATTTTCTTAGTTTAATACTAATCAAAAAATTAGATTTTGATGTATTTATGGTAGGAAATCTATTAAATTTCTTCATGGAACATGATCTTTACTTAATATTGCAAATATTTTTGGAATAAAACTATATAATTTTGACTGTACAGTGTATTTTTGGCTGTTGCCACAAATAAGACTGGTTTTGTAGTCCAGGGTCACATGTGCATAATCAAGACTAAATAATACAAAATAAAAACTAACCATGCATCAGGTTGGAAATGGGTTTTGTCTCCAAATGTGTCATATTTGCAGTCATGAAGGTCACTTTTAGGAAATCTGAATAAGAATAAGCTTTCTATTGCTGTTTGATTTGTTAAAAGGACACCATGTGGCTGAAATGCAACTGTTTAATGGTTCAGAAATATTGAAAATAATGCATTTAAATGAAGTATTTAGTAGTATGCAATGCTAAGAAATGAATACTGACAACTTTTAAAGGTGATTTTATTTTCTTTGTAATGCATATTACTAATCAGAACTTGTTTAGATTTATTTATGGTAGGAAATATGGTAGGAACACTACATTTCTACATGATCTTTACTTAATAATGTTTTGATTTTTGGCAGAAAAATGTTATTTTGACTCTACAATGTATTTTTGCCACAAATATACCATGTTGTTTAGGACAACATGTGACTGAGATACAGCAGTTTAATGGTGAAACAAAAATAAAATATTAGTATAATTTATTAATAAATTCAAAAAATGTTTTTTTTTTGCTACAATATAGAAGTGCAGTTTCTTTGACTTTAATGCAAAAATAAATAAATAAATAAATAAACAAGAAAAAAATTAATTAATGTTGTGAAAAAAAATATATATATTTTTTTCAAATCAAAATAAAATAATCTTTGCCTTTTAATTTGATGCTAAGTTATATTAACAAATGCTCAAAATGTTTTAACTGCAATATAGAAGTGCATATATACCTCAGCCTTCATGAATATAATGTCAAAAGAACAGCAGTTTAATGGTAAAACAAAAATCTAAATGTTGAGAAGATTGCATTTAAATGAAGTTATTGGTAGTTTGCATTGCTGAGAAATTAATTTTGATAGTTTAGTTTAGTTTATTTGTGCAGGGGCAATGCACATTAATAAACATTACTGTAAAATGTGCCTGATTTAGCCAAGAATGGCTATTTTTTTATCTGTAGACCCATGGTAGAATGTTCAAAAGTCACACCTGATATTAGAAATAAAGCATAATAACACAAAGTACACTTCATATATCATACAAGCACAAGTAAAAAACTTTAAAGGTGATTTATGCTAATGATGGGTGTTTTCCCTCTCTTAATGTCCACATACGGTTGTCCAAAGTTTGACTGCAGAGTTTTTGCATTTCCCTTTCGGTTGACTTGCAACACTTTGTCCGAGCACAATAATGTTTATTTTTTCCTCCCATTTATTGTGCAAATGCACATGGTGGTTGTGATGTAATTGTTCTGAAAGGGTTTTTCTGAACGTGACCCCCAGCCTTTATATTGTGTTATCATCGTTAACCGCCTGTAAGCACAGACAAACCTTAATAGCTGAGTTTGCAGTGCCTTTGCTAGTTATCCACAGTTCACTCGAGGGTTAAGTTGTGAGAAACGTGTGAAAAAGATGTAGTTCTCTCTCTTCACAGTTTGATATCATTTTTCATCGCTATCTGTCCATAGTGAGAATGTTTCTCTAATTGAATCCAGTGTGATAATTCTGCTCAATTGTTTTAATCGTGTGCACATTTTAAGCCCATAGAGGGCACTAGAGCATAACGCTTTTTGTGAGCCCATCCAGTGGATTACCTGTTCTGAGAATTGAGTTCTCTCTTATGAAAGCAGGTGTCACTTTTTTTTTTAGATGGCTGTTACTGGAAGGTATAGACATAACAGTTTGAAATGGCTACTTTCTCCTTTTTTTGAACTTAATCTCGGGTGGATAATGGCCTCCATTCAAAATCGGAACCTGTAAATGTGGCAAAGTATGTTATTTTATAGCAAATGCACTCAAAGGGGCATAATTAGGGGAGTATGGATTCATTCTCCTTCTTTCGTGTGTGAAATTGTACAGACTTTGGAGTTTATTAATGGAGTTTTTAAAGTGTTTTCTGCTGAAATGAATCATATGAGACCCTATAGTTTTTTTAAATTGCGTATATGCACCCTGGTTTTCATGACTGTAATGCAGAAAAACTAAGAAATAAAGAAAGGCAAGTCATTAATTTTGCATTAAAAATAAATAGATAAATTGTATAATATTTTCAAATAATAATTGAATTATTTCTGCTTTTTAAATGAATGCTTGTTTATATTAACAAATGCATTAAAATGTTTAACTGCAATATAGAAGTTCATTACACCCATCTTCATGACCTTAATGCAAAAAGTCATTAATGTTGCATAAAAATTGAATATACAGCATAAATTGTTAAAAAAAAATTCAAATGAGAATTGAATCGTCTCTTTTTTTTAATTGATGCTAATTACAAATGCCTAAGAAGGTATTTACTGCAATATAGAAGTGCGTATATACCCCAGTCTTCATTACTGTAATGCAAAAAACAAGAAAAAGTCATTTTGTAAAAAATTTATATAAATTGTAAAATATTATTAATAAATTGAAAAAATATATTTTTGCTACAATATAGAAGTGCAGTTTCCATGACTTTAATGCAAAACTACATAAATAAATAAATAAATGAATAAATAAATAAATAAACAAGAGAAAATTTCATTAATGTTGTGAAAAAAAAAATATATATATTTTTTCAATCAAAATAAAATAACTTTTGCCTTTCAATTTTATGCTAAGTTATATTAACAAATGCTCATTGTTTTAACTGCAATATAGAAATGCATATATACCTCAGCCTTCATGAATATAATGTCAAAAGAACAAAAAAAGTCATTAATGTTGCATTAAAAAAAAAATTATATATATATATATATATATATATATATATATATATATATATATATACATATATATATATATATATAT